TCGTAGTCGTCGTCGTCGTCGTAGTAGTAGTAGTAGTAGTAGTAGTAGTAGTAGCAGTAGTAGTAGTAGTCGTAGTAATAGTAGTAGTATTAGCAGTCGTAGTAGTAATATTCATAGGATGAGGAGGAGGAGGACGAGGAGGAGGAGGAGGAGGACGAGGAGGAGGAGGAGGAGGAGGAAAAGGAAGAGGAGGAGGAGGAGGAGGAGGAGGAGCTGGAGGCGTCGGATAAGGAGGAGGAGCAGGAGGAGGACAAGGACAGGCGGGGGCAGGAGGAGGCTGAGCAGGAGCAGGAGCAGGAGCAGGAACAGGAGCAGGACCAGGAGCAGGAGTGGGGGCTGGAGCGGTGCATCTCTTTGCCTGACGGCTCCAGTCGCCGCCACTGCGGCCAATAGTTTCAGTCCCTTGGACAGGCTGCCAGCGGCTGCGACGCGTCCGACGACGTCTTCTACATCAGCACGGACAAGGACAAGCGGGAGGAGGAAGAGGAGGAGGAAGAGGAGGAGGAGGAAAAGGCGGAGCAGGAGGAGACAGAGGCGGAGGCGGAGGAGGGTCGAGGTCATTCGGCGATTTCATTTCAACTGGCCCCCATCGACTTTCAAGGACCTCCAGGACCGTTGTTGCGGCAGATTCCAGTTCCCCAAACAGGAAACAAACACGTGCAGACGGAGGAGGAGGAACACGAGGAGGAGGACCAGGAGCAGGAGGAGGGGAGGAGGACGAGGAGGTGGAGCAGGAGCCTGAGGAGGATGCGGAGGAAGTGTCAAAAAGGGCATCGAACTCGAGGGTTCGAAGCAGGCCCGGTCTTCTGGGTCTGGGCTCTCCGGGCGAGCCCCAGGGCCTTCAGGGAGGCAGCCCCAGGGCCGGGATCCTGGGGATGGGGTCGAAGGCCCCGCGCGCCTTGAATGCAGAAACGAGGAGTCGGGTCTCTGGGCGAGGATGCTCTGCGTGGTGCCTTGTGCACCTCGGCGGGGCCGCGTCGGGCGACGAGGGGGTCGGGGCGGCGGCGGCGGCGGCCGCGCACGGGCGCCAGCCGGGGGGGCAGAGCGCCGCGGCTGTGAGGAGGGGAAGCTCGTGCAGGCCCACGACATGCAAGGCGCCGCGGAGGAGGAAGCGGAGGATCGGTACGATCTGGATGGGTACAAAAGCATGGGCACGAAGACCGACAGCAGCTCCCAGTCATTTTGAACAGGGCTCGCTGTCGGTGTCGCGGCGGGCGTTGTCCATTTGAGACAGAGGGCTGCCCGCCCAACAGCGGCCGCTGTCGGTTTTGGGCAACGTTTGTTGTTAGGCATCGTACCCATTTTTCCGTACCCTTCTTTGGCATCTACACGGAAGGAGGAGGAGGAGGAGGAGGAGGAGGAGGAGGAGGAGGAGGAAGAGGGGCTCTGAGGGGCTCTGATGAGACCGGTCGTTCAACGACCGCTGGCATGCAAGCCGAGGCAGCCCCAACGGGTCGCCATGCCGAGCACCGAGCCCGACGACACTGGCCACGCAGCCCGTCCTATGCCGAGCAGCGGATGCCGAACCCGATGGTCCAGCGAAAATCTACTGGCAGGCTGCCCGCTACTGCTCCTGCTGTCTGAGGCCAGCGGGAGTAATGGCAGGGAGCCCACGCCGCCGCACGAGCCGCAGCTCGGTGGAACAACAAGTATCTCGAACAGCGCTGGGCAGCGGCGACCCGCCACGCGCGGAAGCCCGGCCCGGAGGCCAAAACGAGGCGAAGCCAGCAGGCGACGAGAAAAGCGGCGGGGCACCTTAGCGCGACCTGCAAGCAGGAGGCACCTCACCAGTCGGCGACCATGGCAAGCATCGCCTTGACCTCTTCCATGGCCTTCGCCTTGTCAGAGCTGCTGCCCGAGTCATAGAAGAGGGCCCAGCACTTTTCGAGTTTCTCTCGGTCGTGTTCGCGGGTCAACTCGTCGCCGTCTTTGGCACCAGCTGCAGTGCTGTCGGTGACGACGTCCGTCTCGACATCCACGGAGTGCCATGGCGGCACCGCAGGCAGGTCAGGGATGCCGCTTGTGAACTCCTCGTCGCCGTCGAGATCGTACGCGTCAGAGCCCAAGTCTCCGCCACCGACGTGGCCGTAGAGCCCTGCGCCCACGGGATTCGGCCCGTGGTCCTTCTCCTCGCCTTCCCCGTTGTTCGTGCCACTGCCCAGCGTGTCGGGGCCCCAGAAGAGGCTCTGCTCGGCGACACCATTGCCCTTGAAGTTGTTGAAGTCGTAAGCGTTCCCGCCAGTGGAGACACAGCCGCGGTCACGGACGACCTGGCGCCTCCACAACATGAACGCGTAGTCCAGCACGTTCCTGCAGTGGTGAGGCCCATCCTCTACTTGATCTCCGCATCGACCTGGGCGATCAAGCTTTCCACCAAAGCCTCCCTGTCCTGCTGGCGGGACCACCTGTTCTTCTTCGTCTCGGGAGGCACCATCTCACATGTAGAAGCAGCGGGGCGAGAAGTCAGAACGCTGTCCGGCCTGCGCTCCAGCACCGACTG